GAAAGCTTACAAGTATCTATGTTTTTGTAATAAACAGTGAGCAAAGCTTTCTGTAAAAGAACTGCTCCAGAAAGACAGCTATGTTTGTTTCACAGGAGAACAGAAGTAGTGTGCCAGCCTTTAATCCTGGTCTTTCCAATTCAGAATGGTGAATTGTCTCTGACTATCCTTGTGTTTGGACTCCCCCCCAACCCAGGAGGGCCCCCTTCTCACTGGCTTAGACCTCAGCAACATGACTTTGCTATTCCTGCCCTTGACCTAGGCTCTGTCTCCGCTCTATTGCAGCACCTTGATAGACCAGCTGAAAGTATCTGCCATGGAGTGACCTTGACTCACTGTCTACAAAGACAGTTTCATTGCAGCTACTCTTGAACTTGTTTATACAAGAAACATGCTACGTTGTGTGGCGTGACATCACTTGGCATGACTGAGCAGCCTGGGTTGCAGAGTTGTAGTCAAATCCTGAATCTCACATAGGTGTGATAACCAACCTCTGAGCTCTTCATGACCTGGAATGTATCTTGCTTTTGTGAATATTTTTAACTTTTTAACTACTTTAAATCATCAGTCATGTAATTCTGAGTAGACACTGAGGGGCAAATGGTCAGTAGCATTTCAGCTGTTCATAGCTACATCCCTGAGCTCATGAACTGGCAACATTTCTTGTCTTGTCCTCTTGGAGCTGGAGAGCCAATCCATCCTGCAGGGGTTGTGTAATGTGAGGGTATGTCATCAGTTCTGAGCCTGTGCTGCTGCCCAAGTCACACAGTCAGATTTTCTGCAGACGCCTCTTGGAGTATTTAACCTGCAGATGCAAAACATATTACTGTGCGTAGTGTTTTTCTGTGTAGATCTAACATGACATAGTGATTCAGAAGTTAAGAAGCCGACCAACCAGGGGCCTGTATGTCCTCACACTACTTTGTTACTGGCTAGAATTTACTAACATGTACTTAACTCAGTCTTGCATTTTTCCAGCTGGTTCTTTTGATAGCTCCTCATGAAACAACTGATGCCAGTTTGCTTACACTTCTCACATGGTGGAGAACTTGCATTAGATCTGCTGGAATTATGTCATTGTTCATTGCAGAAATTGAGGATGGTAGCTGCTCTCCAAGAAACTCCATCTCATGATGAAAAAGAAGCCAATACATACCTAGTTTTCACCTTTATCATAATGCATGCCATACTATTTTAATTGCATCCTTCTTGTTTTCACTGTTGCTGGATGAAGGCCGGATTGCAGATAATTCCTAGTTCAGTCAACCTCATTCTTAAAATAAGACTTAAAATAACATCTTTTTTTTTTTTATCATGAATATCTCAATTAAAAAGCAAACAAATGTGAAGAATGTGGAAAATCACTGATAGTAAGTATAAAAATTTCTATGATGTTAGAAGTAAAATATATTTCAGTGTAACTTATGTGTCAGCAATATGCAACCATTGAGATGGGGAAAAAACAGAAAGGACAAATTTTCTGATGCAAATAAGTAAACACGGGAAATGAGCAAACAAGCTAAACAGCAAAATAAACAAACTGTACAGAAGGTGGACAGCCAGAGAAATAAATAAAAATACAATAACAAACAAAGAGCAAAATAAATGCCAACAAGGCAAATGCAAAACAAAACAAACAAACAAACAAGCAACTGATAAGGAAGAGAAAAATAAATGAAGCTGATGTTACATGCAAGTGGAAGAAAATTCCACTGGACTTTGTCCTAAAGTGCCCTGAAGTCTGGGAGGTTTTTAATTGTGCAGATGGCATAGGTGGAGAGCGAATGGTGGAGGCTATGGAATGCCATTTAGTTCCATTCTTTAATTTGCTTCCTTTAAAGTTTTCTTCCATGACTTGTGTGACCATACTTGCTGCTATGTATGTTTTAGAGTTCTACAGAAACAAGTATTTGTGGTGCTGCCTATAGCCGTGCCTTTGGTGCCAGTGTTTGCAAAGTTACTGGGGGCAAATTTTAATCTTTTCTAAACTTTCTAATCTTTTTTTCTTGTGTGCTGCACAGAAGTTTTATGTCTTGCTCATGCTGAAGTTGCACATTAATTACAAATGCCAGCTAACCATACTATCATTTATAGTTTATAAAAATATATGCAATTTCTGTTCTACATGCTATAGCAGTGTGCATGATTCATTCGCCACAAACATTCAAGCTGTAAAATGAGTCATTCTTAATTAAATAACCTGAAAATATTTTATTTAATGGCTTCATAACTGGCACCTGAACATTCACTTCCAGCTTTTTGCTGTTGTATCAGAAGTGTCTGCAGAAAGCAATCTTGAAAAGTCATATACATGTATTGATTTTTATTTTGCCATCTGAATAAGTTGAGTGCATCTGAATACATAAACAAGAATACATATTATGGAATACATAAGCAATTTTCCTACATCAGCCATAAAAGACAGTATGTTCCCTTCAGCTCTTTGTTTACTGTTTTGAGATGCTTATAACAACTTAATGTCTTGCAAATACGGAATCAGTGTGTTTTGTTTGGGGCATTTTTTGTCTGATGATATCTGTGCTTTGTGTATGTCTGTGGTACATCCCAGTAGATGAAATAAGGCAGGACAGTGCTTCCACGTGGAGAAATGCAGTATGGGAGTGCTGGACCATTTTCCCATTAGGAGACTTGTGGCTGAGGCTCCCCATGTATCCAAATTCCATGGAGTTCTAACTGAGTTGAATTAATTTGGTATGTCATTGAACAGTTGAAATATGTGAGCCTAAAAAACCTGACATTGGCGTTTCAGTTTCCCACTGTCTAGTTCTTTGCATTTGGGATTTTGCTTACAGATTATCCAATATCGTAATATATTCATTGAGAAGGGAAAAGAAAACAGACTTCAGTTTTGATTTTTGTAGCAAATGCCTTGAATTACAGGAGCCCAGTGATGAAAGTGCATGCATGAACTCTGCTTGTGGATTGGTTTTCACATTTCAGTAATTGCTATGGCAGGCATTGCACCTTGTTGGGAGATATAATTATAGTAGTTCAGCTATTTGGTAGTGCTTCTCTTTGTTTCGCTTTGCTTTCTAAAGAAACATTTCATGGAAGCACGTACTTTCTAATAAAATTTTGCTAGAAGTATTTAGGTCTCAGGTGCAGAATGTAATTTTAGAGTGAGGTAACAGAATAGTTTTGTAATCCTTACTGTGAAACTCACAATGTGAAAGTTCAAGGTAAAGACCTACACAGAAAAATCAAAGAATTGGAGAAATCCAGAAAAGAGAATCCATAATACATCTCTAACGCCTGAATAATGCCTGTGAAAAATAAGGAAATAACTTGTATGCACATGGCTGACAGAACCAGAAATAGTGAATTAAAGTTGCACTACAGGAAGTATAAGAGACATTAGGCAGATCTTTCTAATAGTGGGGAATAAAGAGCGGGAAATGAGGTTGACTGAACTAGGAATTATTCCCCTCTGATGCAGAGGGGAATAATTTGCATCAGAAATTAGGAAAACAGAACAAGGCACTGTTACTCAGAGGGGATACAAAAATCTCTGTGGTCTCTTCTTTTTTATCCTGAGCACTGAATATATGTGCAAATCTTACATTACACTGTTGCAGAAGGAAAAAGTCAAAAGAACTTTAAATCTTTAGTCTGTGTTGTGTTTCTAAGCCTTCTGAAAATAAACATTTCAGTGTGCTTTTCATAAGCTGTTTCCTAATGCAGTGTGCAAACACAATTCAGTGCTAACTTCATACAGAGCACAAACATCAGCACCCTAGATCACGGGCATGGATGATATGACAGAGTACCTTCAGAAAAAGAACCTGTCCTATTCCATGGGAAGATTACAGCCGAGCTGTATTCTGAAAGGAACTGGCTTAAAATGTTCCTCACTTTCTGGTACTTGACCCAAATTTAACTCTCAGCAAGGTGGGAGATCAGACCACTGGTGTCTGTGCCAACGTGCCGGTGTTAGACGACCTTCCCTGCTAAATATCACTGTTGCTGGCATAACTGTCTAATATTAGTAAGGGTCTCTGAGAATTTTCTCCTGATCTTTCATCATACATTTGATATGTCAGACCTGTAAAAGTCAAAAGACACTGACCAGTCAAAAAAGTTAATGCTGACATATGAAATCAGGTTACACTGAAAAGATCCATCTATAAAATTCCACCATTTTTGCAAGTAGAAACTGTACCCTGTGGGACCAAAAATGCATCTGTAAATCCATTCAGACAGAGATCGTTTTTTTAATGATTGCCTTACTAATGAAAGATAAACTTCTCTCATCCAAACTCATTAGAGTGATTACCACAGACCATTGATTCCAGTCCATGAGAGGATTTTATGATGTGAAATAAGGGGATTTTTCAAAAGATTTTTGGCAAAGCCTCTTTTGCTGTCCTATCTGACTGCATTGCTTGCAGTTAGGAGAGCAATGCCTTAGTCCAAAATAATGGATGAAACACTGTCTCAGAGGAAGGAATGAAATGGAAAGCGGTGTCGATGTTTTGTCTTTCAGATAAGGTACAGATGCACCATACATAAATCATCAATGGAGCAAACTTTATATTAAGGAAAAGAATTGATTTTTTTATTTTAAAATGGAATGAAACTATGATGGAGACTGCATTAGAATCAGTGAGGAAATGGCACTATATTTTATAATCCTGACAAGTTAATGACTGAACATATACATCTTTGTATAAAATTCCAGGAAAGATGAAGGTGCTTTCAATCTAAGAGGACAATCTGTATTCAATAAAATTGTAGATTATTCATACATACTGTGAAAGCTGAATCATTAATATTAAATAGGTAGGTCAGAGCGTTCAGAGGACTTCTTAGCATTTAAATAGTACAGAAAAAAATTGTTAAATTCATATCTGTTATTCCCATGATTTGTAGTTTTCCACATCTGAGAGCCATTTTTCGCAGTTTCAAAATGTATCCATGTAATGTGTTGAATAGGAATTTTCTAATATTCCGTATTTTTGTTTGTTTGTTTTGTTTTCTAGAGTATAAGAGCTTCAGGTCTGGTGCTGTTGGAAACCATTCTTTTTGGATCACTTCTTCTATACTTTCCGGTAAGCCAAATTGCATCTTTTTTGAAAACTTACGTATTTGTATTTGTCAGCAATTTAAGAAAATGCTTGAATCATGTTGGTGATAAAAGTGATTATCTAAACTGTTACTGTAATGACTAGCCTAATATGATTAATACAATTTGCCATGTTCTGTAAATATTCTTAAGAATGCTTGAATGTTTCATTGTCTTTATAGAAATTCTCCATCTCTAGCTTAAGAAATATTTCAGTATATTTACTTGGAAATTTTGCAGTGTTCTGAGTCAAACTGAGTTTTAGCCTTGAAAGAAGATACCTCTCTATGCTCTGCTTAGAGAAAGTTGTGCAGGGTATGTAAAGTGTGCACAGAAATTCATACCATAGAGCAAAAAGTGAGGAATTTCCTTTTCATGGCAGCCCCAGCCTGCTTTTTTAGAGAATCAGGAGCCACATAGTGTCTTCCCAAGGCAGAGGCTTTATCATAACCAGCCAGCATTTGTACAATGTTGGCTTCAGTTCAAGAGCCTTGCCATGTCTCACATTGTGCTATGTCTACAGTATGCTCACCAGTGACCGATTCTTCAGCATCTTTCCCAGTTCTTGTTTTGAACTCTAACTTTTGTATTCCAGAAAGAGCAAATGTCCTTTGGTGACTGACCATCTTTCGGAGCTCAGTGTCAGGGATGCTTAGGTACTGGTAGTAAAGAAAGAGTTCTCTATCAGCAGCCGACTTGAAGAGAAGGGATACTGTTAGGTGCAAGAGACGGCTGTCCATGACCTTTAGATGCAGAGGGAAGACAACGGAGCTGGGTGGGGGAATTAGCAGATTGAAGCGTCCCGCAGCTTTTCACTAATGTTTAAACATTTCCTCCTTTTTTCACTTACATGGACAATGTAAGATGTACAGCAAGTACAAAATGATGATTGGACACTTTATGAGGAAAACCATTCTCTTGAAAAATCCCGATGATCCTGCCTCCCAGTTGGGATATAGATACCTGGTGGGACCTTGTCCCTCTCTGCATCTCATATGATATAAAAATGTTCTCCGAGGACACATTCTGTTAGATGCTGAAAAGCAAAGGATACACCTGACTTCCCTGTAACAGCAGTTTTGTGTTCCCACAGTATTTGGTGGGGTTCTTTTTCATACGTGGGTAATTACTTATTGGGTGATTATTCCTAAATTTTATCATTTTGATTTAAAGGTTTAAGTGGAGGGACTTAGTGTGGTAATGAAGCTCATATAAATAATCTGGTGGAAATTAATCTATTTCACCATCTTCAAGAATATATTCAGTAAAAACAAAGAAAATTGGAGCTAATGTAGAAACACCAGGGTTGCAATATCACAGGTCCTCAATTCACTGGGAGTTTCCATGACTTTATGATCCAGGGCAAGAAAGTGTAACAGTAGGTGTGTATGGTGTGAGAACATATATATAACATAGCCATAGAGGTCCATTATATCATCTTTAAGGAATGAAAAACTGCATTACCACAAGCTGTGAATTATGGGCTGTGGGTCCTTGAAATGAGAACTCTTGACATTTTGCTGTATGTGTATACTAAATGTTCTCACCTACTTCTTGTTCGGAAAAGGAGCACAGAATAGAGCAAGATAGAATGGGAAAGAAAACTTGAGCTCTAAACTGAGTTTTGTTTGTGCTTGTTTGTATTTGTCTGTGATGTTGTTTAAAAACATAATTGTGTGCACACAGAGTTTTTTAGCTATGTGAATTGATTTTATGATAGAGGAAAACATGCTTTAAGACAATCTGATTCAGCGTGGGCCAGCAGTGTGCCCTGGCAGACAAGGAACAAACTGCATGTTGGGGTGCATTGTTCAGAGCATGACCAGCTGGTCAAAGTAGGTGATTATCTTGCTATTATTTAGCATCAATGTGGCCTGGAGTATTGTGTGCAGTTCTGGACTCTATGATATTACAACCACATTAAAATGCTTGAAAGCATTGAGAAGAGGGCACCAAAGCTGGTAACAGGGCTGGAAGGCATGTCTTGTGGGAAGGGGATGAGGCTACTTCTTTCACTGGACAAAGAGGAGGTCAGGAGGCAACCTCTCTGCAGCAGTATTAGGAAGGGAAGCAGAAAGAAGTGCCAGCTTCTACTCCTGATGACCAGTGGCATGGTGGGAATGGCACAAAATTGCACCATGGAGGGTTAGATTGGACACTGGGAGAATTCCTTTATCCTGATGATGGTCAAACTCTGCAACAGGCTTTCCAGAGGTGGTTGATGTCCCTTGCCTGTCATTGATCAAGAGACATTTGGATAATGCCTTCAATAATATGCTTCAGCTTTTGGTCAGCCCTGAAGTTGGACTCAGTGATCTTTGGAGGTTCTTTCCAATTCAACTATTCTGTTCTAATGTAACAACTTAATTAGGCAGATTCAGATAAATTTTCTGCAGCTATGATGAAATGCAATTTAAAATAGGAAGTGAAGTTCATCATTTTGGGCCAGACAGCACTGCAGTATGGTGATCTTCTTTAAAATATTTTTTCCCATTTGTATAATCTCTTCTTCTACTGTATTTTGGAAGGCAAAACTGAAAAACTTAACTTTCACGCTCAACTAAGTGCAGATTACAAAGCTTGCCTCAGTGCATCTATGGTGTTATAAGAATAAAATGGCAGAAAATCATCTCTAAAAGTTGAAAAATAGATTTATATAATCTATTTAAGGATTCAATGCAATATTACATTCTGATTTAAAAATTAAAAATTCTCCTTAGACTTTCTCAACACTGCTCAAGTCTTTTGCATCTTTACTTTCCATTCCCTGTGCTTTCCCAGCGCTGGCTTTTATTGTATTTATTCACCCAGTCTGCCTTGGATTGTTCTGAGAGCCTTCAGCATACCAATTCTGCTGTGTCCAGAAAAGCTTTATTGCATCTATGACTTTCCCTACCCTCCAATTAAATGGAAACCAAAACCTACTTTGTTGCATTGCTTAATTTCTTCAACTAATTGTCATTGTTTTCATGTCTACATGCTGTAATCTATTCATAGTGTAGTGCCATTAATTGAAAAATAATATCACCAGCCAGCTGCCTTTGGGGAGAAAAACAGCTGTTATAATACCCTTCTAACAAACAGAAAATGCTAATGATGATCTCCACCAAAATTTATTTTTCAAATTCTGCTATATTGATAACAACACACAGATTTCTCCTGAATTATAACAAGGCAGAGGAGCTTTGTCTATTAAAAATGCATAGTTTTTACACAGCAGTTGCTGGGCAGCTGTCGTTTCTGAGCCTCTCATTTCATGTGTTTTCTCCTGTTTTCTCCTGTTTTTAAATAAGTTTTGTTATTTATATACATTAACAATAGTATATATTTTAGGAAGGCTGCTTTGAAAGTAATGCCTCCTCTTTTATTATGTTGGCCTACATTGTCAGAGGCAGATGTTAGTGGTATGGTAGTAGAGGTGGAACCTTCCAACACATGCTGTTAAACTTGTTGCTGTATGACAGATAGCAGCAGAGAGGCAGTCTGACAGAACGATATCTGACACAGAAGTGCAGATGAAGCAAAGATATAGAATTTAATTCCTCCATGCAGAAAAAATGGCACCCATAGACATTCCTTGACACTTGCTGAACACTGATGGAGACCAACGAGTGTATGTGAGCACAGTGAGGTGATGTGTTCCAGCAGTGGCAACAGCGACCATGGGTTATCTCTGCTGGTGCAGGTTTTGACAAGCATGGGTTGCAGGCTCTTGTTTATCACTGGCCAAAACCCGTAGCTAATGGTGGTGTGTATGCTGAAAAATAGTATTTTATAGCTGATAACTTGCTCTGTCAGAGTTACTGTGCTTTTCATATCTGTTATAGCTTCTATGAAAATAAATAGGAGGCGTTACTTTTGATGCGACCTATGTATATGCAGCCTGAGAGTGCAGTCAGTGCAGCCCAGGCAAGCCAAAAGGTTGGACATGCTTTAGACCTTTACTAAATTCCTTCCTTTCTTGCTTGTACTGTAACACATCTTGCATTAATGCAGGATTGAAAACTTTTCATGTTGCGAAGACCTTCATCAAACACGTAATAGAGTACAAACATTGTAATAGAGTAGCTGATTAATTCCATTGGGGTTGAGATCTCAGCTGATTTTAGAAAACGTTTGGAAAACAGGAAATTCTGTTTAGATACCATGAAAGATTTTATTTATCAGAGCAGGTTGCTGACATCAGCTCCGGAGTCTCCTGCCTTGGAATAGTCACAGACGTGGGCAACCTTACCTCATTAGACCTGCTTGGAGTAGGGGTTTAGACTAGGTGTCTTCTGGAAGCCTCTTGCAACCTAAATTATGCTATGATTCTTTGTTTCTTATGTGGGTATCCAAACCTGAAGAAGTCATCAATGTTTACCAAATAATTATTGATGAGATATTGGGCATTTTATAACCCATTTTAGATTTCAACCTGAACACGAGGTGACTCACACTCTGGGCCCTGTTGATGGTAAATGTATCCTGGGGTACTGGGTGGGTTATCTGATATATTAAACATTTTCCGTACTACTAGTGTGCTTTAACTGAAACTCCAGGATGCACTCTAAAATTCATGCAGTATTATGATAATTTCTAGAGCCAGTGATGAAAATTAGTGAGTACCGTGATGCGAAAGGGGCAGAGAATAATTTCTTCTCCATGCTCTTGATATAGCAGGGAAGAGGGTTAAAATAAAGTGAAAATTATGTTACACAGCGAGGCAGTTTTATAATAGTAGAATTAGTTACACTGTAAGATGGATTAGGGGAGAGGCTGTGAAGCATCTTTTTAAAAGCTGTTGGGATTTTTCCCTTCAATCTTCTCATCTTTTGGCTCAAAACATCTAAATTCTTTCTATTTCCAGCTGCCATCGGTTTTCCAAACTTCTAATTATAGCAAAGCAGTATTATTCTCAGTATATAGAAATAGCTGCAGTGCATTGAGTTGCTAACATTCATTAAGCCGTTCAGTAGTGTAACCTGGAATAATCTCATTGTGCTC